GGCCAAAAGGTTTAGGCCAGAAGGCTACAAAGGAATCGAAAAACATGAAATATTGCCTTCTATAAAGTGGATTATAAACCACCCGATGATAGAACGGGCAGACAGGACCTTATGATGATAGAGGCGGGGGTTTTAGAGACCTTGTGATGATAGAGCCGGAGGTCTCCGAGACCTTCTGACGGTAGAGCTGGGGGTCTTCGGGACCTTCTAGAGGCGGCCTCGAAAGGACCCAGGTCAAGGTAAATTAACTCCGACAGGACACCCAAGTGGACCCTGTTTATGATTACTTTCACGCCTGTCTGGTCATTAACCTCCGAGTACCGAATACCGTGCAGCCACATACAGCCCCGCCAAGGAAAACATTTTCGAGGTCCGCTCGCTCTAATTTTTTTTTTTTTACATTTTTATTAGTCCACAAATAAAACTTTTGGTTGTTTGTCTATCCATGACGAGGGGCCTGAGCGATGGGTGGAGCTGGAGAACTGGTGGCATAAACAGATCAATAAAACAAAACGTAGAAGCAAAGCCAGGGTCGACAGCACCACAGAAACTACCAAAGGGAATGTAACCAGAAGACAAAACAGCAACACCAACAACTGGCGCAGTTCCCATGCAAATTTCTCAAGAACTGCCGCCCGACCCCAGCCCCAATGCCAGATCCTGCCTATAGGACAACGACAACACTCTCCACGCCATTAACTGTTGCCCGTCTATTTGTTGCTACAAATAATGTGTAAGCAGGCATATTTTTGTCAACGAGGCTAATTTCTGTCACAGATTTACGTGACAATGGCCTCCGCAGAAGGCAAAAAGCAGCCCCCACCCCACCAGCCGAACACAACAAAAAATATGGATGGGGGGCGGTGGCGAGGGCGAGGGCGAGGAAGAAATCCAAAGAAATCCCCCAAAAAAACAACAATTACAAAACAAGTTTCATCAAAGGAGCTGGGCGCTGGGGTTCTGCTGGGGAGCTATGTAGGTAGGTTCTGGCTGGTTTTTGGTTGAAATATTTGTTGTTCTTCTTTGGCTGCTCTGTCACTGAGGTTCGTCGTCGTCTTCGTCGTCGTCGTTTTGCGGGCAGTCCGTAAAAGCCATAAAAAGAAATATAACAGGCAGAAGCAGAAACAGCAGCAAAAGGAAAAAAAACAGAGAAGCCCAAAACAAAACTGAGCCGTGAAGCAGCAGCGTCACAAAAAAATAAAACTGGGTTAGCTTGGGTCCTACGAGTACGAGTACTCATACTCATACTCATACTCACACTCGTATTCGTATACTTATTCGTACTCCTCCTCGAGCCGCCCCCTCTTCCGTGCCACTCATTGTTGTCTTTGCACCTACGCTATGGTGTGTTTTTTTGCTCTTTATGAATGATGCGCCCTGTTGTTGTCCGTCTTGGTTATTGTTGTCCGAAGAACCTGAATGTATGACACATATGCAATGCCCCCCACCGCACTCTACACTGTACACACACTCATCCCACGGATGATTCTAAGCATTTGTGCTAGTTTTTTTCCTGAAAGCATCTTAAAGACCAGGCATAACAGCATGGATGATGGCCAGTACAGCCAGAGATCGATGCAAGTCTTTCGCCATAGTCAAACCAGAGCAACACTGGGGCAGTCGTAGATTATCTATATCTGGAATATTCCCTAAATGTTGCCCTCAAGGGCTTTTAAGATTTCTGCCTCCCTTGTACAATGCAATGGTAATCCTCTCGGAGCAAAATATCTTACGACACTTCCTAAACCCCTTTTAAAGTAAAGTCGGAAAGCTTCTTACACAGTGAAAGCTTAGGGAGAGCCATCTTAATCCCGGTGCTGGTCCTCTGATGCTCCTCTGCTGCTTGAAACTTGAAACGTACATCGTACTTGTGTACGCTTGATTTAATAACTGATAGTTAAGAATATGTGAGTATAAATTACAAATAGTTAATCGTATCACTTATAGCAGACACACACAATAAACCATCATCTAATATCGATAATAATAAGCGACAGTTAATTAATGTAAGTTGTTAATGTAAGAAAACATCGCTGACGCTTATTAGGACACACATCAGGGAGCACATCGGATAGTTAAGAAGACAAAATTTGTCGGAATTCAGGCATTAAAACGCTATGCTCTATTTTTTTAAATACCTTTCCCGTAAAAAAGTTCACAATAAAATTATTCAACGTTTTAAATTCCACACCTACAAATATTTCACATTCGAAACCTTTGAATTTTTTTTTTTTCTCAACACATTCATGGGCAAATATTTTCTCATAACTCGCACAGCTTGATGCTTGTAAATCGTGGATTTCCATTCTAACAAACCGAATTCCATCTGTGTCATTCCCAAAACTATGACAAATAAAGAAGGAATGTTCTAAATACAGAAAGCTACCGCTGGAATGATATTCCGACTATTCAGCAACAGGATTGATTGGTATTCACAGTGGTTTCGTAAAACGATGCTTCAAACGGAAAAAAAAATGATAAAAGAGGCACTTGATAAGCTATAATTTTGATAAAAAGATTAGGATACAAATATATAAATTAATGTTAATGGTGGTAGAGCCAACCCGTTTGCAATTGAAAAGTACCCTCAATTTGGGAATAGCCCAATGCCCATGCCATTGAGGTGGCCCACAGACATTACCGGGCTCTGGCTCTGGCTCTGGCTGTGGCCGATAGCGATCCGAAACTCAATGGACATTACCGCAAAACAGCAGGAGGTGGCCATCATCGAACCCGTAGACAGTCAGTCCATCACCATTGCTGATTGACGCTGATGTGTTTGCCACCAGATGAACATTTAATTCCTTCTTCTGTGCCCAACCCCAGCGCCCCTTTCTGCATATATGGTGCCCAAGTGCCTGCTGTCCCTGCGTCCCTGGCTTTTGTTTATTGGCTGACAAGTGCTGCACATCCGGGCTGGTTGCGTTTTGCGGAAATGAGCAAATGACTAATGACTGACCAAGCAGAGCGTGAGAGGGAGAGGGGGGATACACCCAAAGAGCTACAGAGACACCCATCCATACGAGTGTATATCCTCTTTGGAGTCCGGCTCTGGCTTTGGTTCTCGTTCTGGTTCTTTTTCTGTTTACTGTGCGCTTCAATTAAAGCATCTTGCAGGAAATTGAACTTTTAGTCAAGTGGCCAAAGGATGGGGGCAGATGGGCAGATAGTGGATGGTTGGGTTTGGATTCGAGATGGAATGCCACTGGGGTCAGAGGGGGCAGCGTCATCAATCTGTTACGTACTTGACTTGAAGCGGGGGGTGGTGGTGGTGGTGAGGCGCTGTTTAAAGCTTCAGTGGCGTATCCGTATCCAGTTGTTGCATGTGCCCAAGATTTGTTTTCCTTTTACTCAGCTTTTCCTTGGCTTTCCTTAGCTTTTCCTTGGCTTAGCTTTAGCTATTTCTTCCTCGGCTCAAGTTTGATTAGCACTTCACTTCACTACAATAATCACAATGTGATTGGCGTTGGATTTACGCTTTTCCTTTTATTATGTGAATTATTTGCTTATATTTTTTTCAAAAACTTAACATTGCTGTTTAGCGTTACACGTTCACGTTCCATCGCCATCGCCATCGCTTAAGTACGAATTTCTCATAACATCAGCACTAGAGAGATCTCCGCTTTCCCGTCGTATCTCAGGCGTCACGGTGCAACCCCAAAAGCGGTGCTCACGCGCCAAATAACAAACGTGCACTGACACATCCGTGCAACATTATGCGGATTTTATGGCACGACAACGACAACGACACAAGACCGACCCAAAGAACCCGACGACCAGCTACGACGGCGGCGGCGACGGCGTTGACGACCTTCGACCAGAGCTTCGTTTTTTTAGATCACACGAAAGCACAAAGTCAGCATTCAATAAGAAATTTGTTGTCCTAGGCGCAACAGACGAAAGCCGACGGCCCAGTCGGCTCATGAGCGCCGGAGAGCACTCCACAAAGAGAGTCTGCACATGCGCGCCCATTAATTTCGAGGCTGGCAATGCTGTCAGCTTGAGAGTCTCGAGAAATTCGAAACTGGACAGTGATTTGATGACGATGAAGATGAATGAATGAGTGTATGGGCTGTATGGAGTCTGGGTGTGGGGGTGGGGGTGTGGGGGTTCGCTCTATGAATGGAGTGGGATGGATGGTGGGGCCTGTTTTGCAAGATAGGAGGGTTGATTCAAGTTCAGGTCGCCCTTTGACCACAAAATACCGGCTGCTAGCTAATAAACTCCCAAGGAGCAACCAAAAATGTTGTTCGAATTTATTGTTCAACATTCTTCTGCTCGTCGTAGTCCTGATTCTGGGGGCCTTTGCTGGCCCACTCTCACCCCTCCCCGCAAAAAACTAAGACTGATAAATGGCCACGCACTCTGGCAATTTGCAAGTTGTCTTCAGCTAACCCCAAAAGTTTTATATGCCTCATCTTGTTGTAGGCGGGCGGGCGGGGGGTGTGGTGGTGCCATTACGGTTCTGGTTTCAGGTCCCAGGTCCTGCTCCCCCTCTGAGTGCTGTCCTGTCTTTGCTGCTGTTTTTAATATACAATATTAGCCGGTAGTGATGTTTCAATTAATTTTTAAGGTGCTGCCCCCGTCGCTCCGACCCATCTTCAGTGGAGGCAGCACTTGTCAGTGTCAGACAGAGACGGCCAGAGATATGGCCAGAGATGAAGATAGAGAGGCGGCCACGAGAAGAGACCGAAGGGAAAATGTGGGGCGGAACCGCATGCTAAGATATGATGGCAGATGCCAAGCAGAGGATGAATAAATGGCCTGGATGCAAAGTTTAAATTTTTCATAGTCGGTTGCTTCGGTTCGGATGTGTTCGGTCGTTGGGCTCCCGCTCGCTCTTCTGTGGTTTGGGCCTCCTCTATTCTTGTGGTTTGCATTGGTCAAACTGTAGAGCAATCGGACATTAAGCAGCTGCCATGGCGGAGAAGACAGATTATTGCATTTTCATTCCATATTCGATTCAAGGGAACAAAATGCAACATTATTAAGACATAAAATATGTGCGGATACAAGTTATACTTTGGAAGAATTTTGTAGTAACATATTTACAGGGAAAACTCATTCTAATTGTCCAGAAGAGTGATGGAATGACTGCTCATAATGCAAATGGATGTGGAACCAAATCGATTCCAGTTACATAAGATCTATATCTGTGATTTTGTGTGTCACCATAGGGGTACACCGTCTCTTGCTTTTATCCACACAGTATCCGGAAACCATTTTGATGAAACCTTTTCAAAGTCGAATTAAATATTATGGGGAATTCAAGATTTATAGTAAGAAACTCACGCGGCCTGTTGTTTAGTTCACGCAAACATATCTCCACTCTTAGCTGGCATTCGTTTTCTGCCTGAAATCCGCAAACTTCATCATAGGCACACGTGAATCCATCGAATGATAAAGGACAATACGGGTATGGGCAACCTTTGAACTTTAGAGCAAGACTCAGAGGAGCTGATTCGGGATGTTTAATATAGTAAATCTAATTAAAGCTGTACAAAATAATATAGATCACCTAAGAGGAGAACGATAATGGACTTCATGTTGTTTGAAAGAGCTAGCACATGAGACTGGTGTATAATGGGATTTCTCCAGTTACGGAAAGTTGGTTACGGAAATTATCTTGTTGTTTTCCACTTATATTATAAATCTACCATAAACGAGCGGTAATGTGCTCAGCAGCGGCAAGGGCCGCGTCTCTACATTTATACCCGATATTCAATCAAGATGTGTGTTGCTATCTCGCTCCCCTCCGCCACCGACAATGAGCGCACAATGCACGAGGAAGAGTGTGTCAGAGAGAGAATGAGTAAGCGTATTAGATTAGATTCTTCTTATTAGATATTTTAAAATAAAATATTTTAGATTTAAATTAGGTGTTTTGATATATTTTTTGTAAAATTCTTCTTCGAATTTATTTGCCGTTTTTTTTATAGCTTCATCTGTTCTTCTTTTTTGGGTTTATCTGCTATTGCTTAATCCAATTTTTCCCCGGATTTTCGTTTGATTCTGATATTTTCTAGCAACCATACTTCTTCTTTCCTCTTCTTCTGTCCATTCTTCTTTCTCCACTGCTTCTGCTTCTGCTTCCGATTCTGGTTTCTTTTCCTTAGTCTTCGCTTCCTCTGCGAAGATGAGTTTTTGAAAATTGATTTCGTTCTAAATTGTTTATTTTTTTCTTTCTGATGCTCGTTTTGTTATTGGTTATTGTAATATTTTTTGTTCTCAATTGGTGACCTTTTTATTTTCTTCCAAAAATGATGTTTCTGTCTGTGATTGATTCTCTTTTGGATTTTTCTTCTTCACATTTTTCTTCCTTTCTATTTTGGTTATAGTTTTTGTTGAGGATTTTTCTGGTTATCCTTTTGCCTTTTCTGTTGTCGATTCTGATTACTCTGAAGATCCTTCATCTTCCTGCATTATCGAAGTGGGTTCCATTCATTTAGGTTCCTCTGTTGGTTCTTCGGTCGATGTGTCCTCTGATTTTGGTGTCTCGTTGTGTTCTTCCTTTGGTATGTGTCCTTCAAAGAAAGGTGCCCCGTCAGGTGCTTCCTGCGATGTGTGCTCTGATGATTTAAGTTTCTCTGCAGGTTCTTCCTTGGATATGAATTCGGGTAATTTAGGTCCCCATGCAAGTTCTTCCTGCGATGTGTCTTCTTCTGATTTTGGTGTCTCGTTTGGTTCTTCCTTCGATGTGTGCTCTTCTGATTTAAGTTTCTCTGCAGGTTCTTCCTTGGATATGAATTCGGGTAATTTAGGTCCCCATGCAAGTTCTTCCTGCGATGTGTCTTCTTCTGATTTTGGTGTCTCGTTGGGTTCTTCCTTTGATATGTGTCCTTCGAAGAAAGGTGCCCCGTCAGGTGCTTCCTGCGATGTGTGTTCTTCTGATTTGGCTGTCTCTGTGGCTTTTTCTTTCGATGTGTCTTCCTCTGATTTTGGTTTCTCTTTTTGTTCTTCTGTCGATGTGTCTTCTTCTGATTTTGGTGTCTCGTTGGGTTTTTCCTTTGATATGTGTGGTTCGAAGAAAGGTGCCCCGTCAGGTGCTTCCTGCGATGTGTCTTCTTCTGATTTTGGTGTCTCGTTGGGTTCTTCCTTTGATATGTGTCCTTCGAAGAAAGGTGCCCCGTCAGGTGCTTCCTGCGATGTGTGTTCTGCTGATTTAAGTTTCTCTGCAGGTTCTTCCTTGGATATGAATTCGGGTAATTTAGGTCCCCATGCAAGTTCTTCCTGCGATGTGTCTTCTTCTGATTTTGGTGTCTCGTTTGGTTCTTCCTTCGATGTGTGCTCTTCTGATTTAAGTTTCTCTGCAGGTTCTTCCTTGGATATGAACTCGGGTAATTTAGGTCCCCATGCAAGTTCTTCCTGCGATGTGTCTTCTTCTGATTTTGGTGTCTCGTTTGGTTCTTCCTTTGATAAGTGTCCTTCGAAGAAAGGTGCCCCGTCAGGTGCTTCCTGCGATGTGTGTTCTTCTGATTTGGGTGTCTCTGTGGCTTTTTCTTTCGATGTGTCTTCCTCTGATTTTGGATTCTCTTTTTGTTCTTCTGTCGATGTGTCTTCTTCTGATTTTGGTGTCTCGTTTGGTTCTTCCTTTGATAAGTGTCCTTCGAAGAAAGGTGCCCCGTCAGGTGCTTCCTGCGATGTGTGTTCTTCTGATTTGGGTGTCTCTGTGGCTTTTTCTTTCGATGTGTCTTCCTCTGATTTTGGATTCTCTTTTTGTTCTTCTGTCGATGTGTCTTCTTCTGATTTTGGTGTCTCGTTGGGTTCTTCCTTTGATATGTGTCCTTCGAAGAAAGGTGCCCCGTCAGGTGCTTCCTGCGATGTGTGCTCTGCTGATTTAAGTTTCTCTGCAGGTTCTTCCTTGGATATGAATTCGGGTAATTTAGGTCCCCATGCAAGTTCTTCCTGCGATGTGTCTTCTTCTGATTTTGGTGTCTCGTTGGGTTCTTCCTTTGATATGTGTCCTTCGAAGAAAGGTGCCCCGTCAGGTGCTTCCTGCGATGTGTGTTCTTCTGATTTGGGTGTCTCTGTGGCTTTTTCTTTCGATGTGTCTTCCTCTGATTTTGGTTTCTCTTTTTGTTCTTCTGTCGATGTGTCTTCTTCTGATTTTGGTGTCTCGTTGGGTTCTTCCTTTGATATGTGTCCTTCGAAGAAAGGTGCCCCGTCAGGTGCTTCCTGCGATGTGTGTTCTTTTGATTTGGGTGTCTCTGTGGCTTTTTCTTTCGATGTGTCTTCCTCTGATTTTGGTTTCTCTTTTTGTTCTTCTGTCGATGTGTCTTCTTCTGATTTTGGTGTCTCGTTGGGTTTTTCCTTTGATATGTGTGGTTCGAAGAAAGGTGCCCCGTCAGGTGCTTCCTGCGATGTGTCTTCTTCTGATTTTGGTGTCTCGTTGGGTTCTTCCTTTGATATGTGTCCTTCGAAGAAAGGTGCCCCGTCAGGTGCTTCCTGCGATGTGTGCTCTGCTGATTTAAGTTTCTCTGCAGGTTCTTCCTTGGATATGAATTCGGGTAATTTAGGTCCCCATGCAAGTTCTTCCTGCGATGTGTCTTCTTCTGATTTTGGTGTCTCGTTGGGTTCTTCCTTTGATATGTGTCCTTCGAAGAAAGGTGCCCCGTCAGGTGCTTCCTGCGATGTGTGTTCTTCTGATTTGGGTGTCTCTGTGGCTTTTTCTTTCGATGTGTCTTCCTCTGATTTTGGTTTCTCTTTTTGTTCTTCTGTCGATGTGTCTTCTTCTGATTTTGGTGTCTCGTTGGGTTCTTCCTTTGATATGTGTCCTTCGAAGAAAGGTGCCCCGTCAGGTGCTTCCTGCGATATGTGTTCTTCTGATTTGGGTGTCTCTGTGGCTATTTCTTTCGATGTGTCTTCCTCTGATTTTGGTTTCTCTGATGAGTCCTCGGCTGTTGTGTTTTCATCTGTTGTGTATTCTTCTTCTTTGACTTTTTCTGTTGGGCCTTCTTCTATCTTGCCGTCTTCTGCTATGTCTTCTTCTATTGCTTCTTCTTCTGTTGTGTACTCTTCTGTTGTATCTTCTTCTTCAGTTGTGTCTTCTGATGTTATGTCTTCTTCTGTTACGTCTTCTTCTGTTATGTCTGCTTCTGTTCTATTTTCTCTAGTTGAGTCATCTTCTGTTGGGTATTCTGTCGTTTCTTCTTCTATTGTGTTCTTCTCTATTGTTTGGTTTTCTGTTGTGTCTTCTTCTGTTATGTATTCTTCTGTTGTGTCCTCTTCTGTTGTGTCCTCTTCTGTTGTTGATTTTTCTGTTGTTGCATTTTCTATTGTTTCTTCTTCAGCTGTGCTTTCTTCGGTTGTGTCTTCTTCGGTTGTGTCTTCGCCTGTTGTTGGTTTTTCTGTTGTTGGTTTTTCTGTTGTTGGTTTTTCTTGTGTGACTTCTTCTGTTGTTTCTTTTTCTGTTGTTTCTTCTTCTGTTATGTTCTCTTCTGCTGTGACTTCTTCTGTTGTGTCCTCTACTGTTGCGTCCTCTTCTGTTATGTATTCTGCTGTTGTGTCCTCTTCTGTTGTTGATTTTTCTGTTGTTGCATTTTCTATTGTTTCTTCTTCAGTTGTGCTTTTTTCTGTTGTTACTTCTTCTGTTGTGTTTTCTTCTGTTGTGTCCTCTTCTGTTGTGTCTTCTTCTGTTGTGTCTTCTTCGGTTGTGTCTTCGCCTGTTGTTGGTTTTTCTGGTGTGACTTCTTCTGTTGTTTCATTTTGTGTTGTTTCTTCTTCAGCTGTGTATTCTTCTGTTGTGTTCTCTTCGGTTGTGTCTTCTTCGGTTGTGTCTTCGCCTGTTGTTAGTTTTTCTTTTGTTGGTTTTTCTGGTGTGACTTCTTCTGTTGTTTCTTCTTCGGTTGTGTATTCTTCTGTTGTGTTCTCTTCTGTTGTGACTTCTTCTGTTGTGTCCTCTACTGTTGTATCCTCTTCTGTTATGTATTCTTCTGTTGTGTCCTCTTCTGTTGTTAATTTTTCTGTTGTTGCATTTTCTATTGTTTCTTCTTCAGCTGTGCTTTCTTCGGTTGTGTCTTCTTCGGTTGTGTCTTCGCCTGTTCTTGGTTTTTCTGTTGTTGGTTTTTCTGTTGTGACTTCTTCTGTTGTTTCTTTTTGTGTTGTTTCTTCTTCAGCTGTGTATTCTTCTGTTGTGTTCTCTTCGGTTGTGTCTTCTTCGGTTGTGTCTTCGCCTGTTGTTAGTTTTTCTGTTGTTTCTTCTTCGGTTGTGTATTCTTCTGTTATGTTCTCTTCTGCTGTGACTTCTTCTGTTGTGTCCTCTACTGTTGCGTCCTCTTCTGTTATGTATTCTGCTGTTGTGTCCTCTTCTGTTGTTGATTTTTCTGTTGTTGCATTTTCTATTGTTTCTTCTTCAGTTGTGCTTTTTTCTGTTGTTACTTCTTCTGTTGTGTTTTCTTCTGTTGTGTCTTCTTCTGTTGTGTCTTCTTCGGTTGTGTCTTCTTCGGTTGTGTCTTCGTGTGTTGTTAGTTTTTCAGTTGTGTCCTCTTCTGTTGTATATTCTTCTGTCGTTTCTTCTGTTGTGCTTTCTTTTGTTGTGTATTCTTCTGTTGTGTATTCTTCCGTGGTTGGTTTTTCTGTTGTATATTCTTCTTTTGTGCTTTCTTCTGTTGTGTCTTCTTCGGTTGTGTTTTCTTCGTCTGTTGTTGGTTTTTCTGTTGTATCTTCTTCTGTTGTGTATGCTTCTGTTGTGTCCTCTTCTGTTGTTTCTTCTTCTGTTGTGTCTTCTTCGGTTGTGTCTTCGTGTGTTGTTAGTTTTTCTGTTGTGTCCTCTTCTGTTGTATATTCTTCTATCGTTTCTTCTGTTGTGCTTTCTTTTGTTGTGTATTCTTCTGTTGTGTTTTCTTCTGTTGTGCTTTCTTCTGTTGTGTATTCTTCCGTGGTTTGGTTTTCTGTTGTGCTTTCTTCTGTTGTTCTTTCTTCTGTAGTATATTCTTCCGTGGTTGGTTTTTCTGTTGTGTATTCTTCTGCTGTGCTTTCTTCTGTTGTGTATTCTTCCGTGGTTGGTTTTTCTGTTGTATATTCTTCTGTTGTGCTTTCTTCTGTTGTGTTTTCTTCTGTTGTGCTTTCTTCTGTTGTGCTTTCTTCTGTTCTGTTTTCTTCTGTTGTGCTTTCTTCTGTTGTGTATTCTTCCGTGGTTGGTTTTTCTGTTGTATATTCTTCTGTTGTGCTTTCTTCTGTTGTGTTTTCTTCTGTTGTGCTTTCTTCTGTTGTGCTTTCTTCTGTTGTGCTTTCTTCTGTTGTTCTTTCTTCTGTAGTATATTCTTCCGTGGTTGGTTTTTCTGTTGTATATTCTTCTGTTGTGCTTTCTTTTGTTGTGTATTCTTCTGTTGTGCTTTCTTCTGTTGTGCTTTCTTCTATTGTGTATTCTTCTGTTGTGCTTTCTTCTGTTGTGTATTCTTCTGTGGTTGGTTTTTCTGTTGTTGTTTTTCCTGTTGTGTATTCTTCTGTTGTGTCTTCTTCTGTTGTAACTTCTTCTGATGTTTCTTTTTGCGTTGTGTCTTCTGCGGCTGTGACTTCGTTTGTTGTGCCTGTTTCTGTTGTGGGTTCTTCTGTGGTTTTTTCTTGTGCTGTTGATTTTTCTGTTGTGTCTCTTTCTGTTATGTCTTCTTTTGTTGTGTCTGCTTCGGTTGTTGGTTTTTCTGTTGTGTCTTCTTCTGTTGTGACTTCCTCTGTGGTTGTTTTTTCTGTTGTTAATTTTTCTGTTGTTGTTTTTTCTGTTGTGTCTTCTTCTGTTGTTGGCGTTTCTGTTGTTGGCTTTTCTGTTGTTGGTTTTTCTGTTGTTGGCATTTCTGTTGTTGGCATTTCTGTTGTTGGTTTTTCTGTTATGTCTAATTTTGTTGTTGATTTTTCTGTTGTGTCTTCTGGTATTGAAGGATGGGGCGTCCCTTGATTCTTGACAATTGTTTCACACCATGGTTCTTTCCCAATTATGTGACATTCACCATCCACAATATTCGGGGCCTTATAAGCTATTACATAGATAAATAATTAATATAAAATATAACATGGCGGATAAATTACTCACGGGGTAACTTCGCCTGCTTTCTCAAACACATTACAAGATCGTATGTACAATTTGACGGTATTGTAAACCAGCATTTTCGTTTTGGATCTAATGCACAAAAGGGCTGTACGAAATCCCTCCGACTGATACACAATTCAAGACACCGGTTTTTACGTCCATTATGTCCATCAATGGTAATCAGAACTTGAGATAATTATATGGAACATTGAGGTATTTATACATGAACTATATTTTTATCTGGCGAGATTACCTACAAGAGTCAGCAGATGCGACCTCATCGCTCACAGCTCAACAAGAAGGACCGATGACTACCGTAGAACTAATGTGGAGACGAGATTTCGCATGTCCGCACGATTTGTGTCGGATTTGTCATGCCTAACCGTATAGTTCTTGAATTTGATTAGAGATAGGTTGATACAATATGATTTTACGGTAGGAATACACTTCGAATTTCTTATTATTTGACCTATTATAACAATTCCATGGATCATACGGAGTGCAATTTTATTTGTACCTTATTTTTTAATAAACCTGCTTTTTATTACTACTTACTACTTAAATTTTTTTTTTTTTTTAATAATTTTTAAAATTTTTTTTATTTTTTATTTTTTATAATTTTAATTTTTTATTAAGCTAATTTTTTTTAAATTATTTTGATAATTTTAATTTGTTGTATTATTTTAGTTTTTTTTGTAGTTCACTTTTTTTAAAATTTTAGTTTATTTTTTAAGTTACTTTAAGTTACTTTACTTACATTTACTTTTTTATAATTTTACTTTATTTTTTTAATTCATTTACTTTTTTATCATTTGAATTTTTTTTTAATTCATTTACTTTTTTGTCATTTGAATTTATTAATTTTAAAATAAATCAAATTTAAATTTTTAATTTTTAAATAATTTTTTAATTGTTTATTTATTTTTTTTAAATTTGTTTTGCATTATTTTATTTTATTAATTTGGTTTTATTTGTGTAATTGTTGAATTTCTTCATTGATTGGCACAACATAATTGAACTAAACTCTTAATGCAATGAGTAATGGTAAACTATTATTTATATGGATAGACGGCACTGAATAATATGCTACCCGGCTTGTCTGTGAAGTTGTTGCACTGTGAAAAATCTTCATGGAAATGCGGATCAAAAAACATCAGCTAATCCACCATCAACACATTTGCAAGTGTCTGGAAAAACGTTCAGCGTTCATTGTCCAATGCTCTCTCTCTTTCTCAGAAATTCCGTCAACAATTTTCAGTCAATTGTGTAAGGTCATTTCCCATTTCAATGAAATACCTATAGAAGTTCTGTTCGGTTTTGATTCTGTACTGTTCTGCTGTGTCCTGGTTCTGATGCTGGTACTCGTTCTCGTTGAGGTCCTCCTTCTCCTTCTCCTTCTGCTTCATCTTGTTCTTGTTCTTGTTGCGGTTTAATGGATTTGCAGTTTGCAGTTCCTTAACAATTCCATGTTATTTTCGCTTTTTTACGTTTTCCTTTTCGCCCTTTGCCCTTTTAGTGTTGGAGTAGAATTTCCCCAACATTTTTTTCTCATCGTTTATCCCCATTCTCCTATTCTTCTTTTTTTTTTATTTTGGTAATTGCTGGCCATTGTTGTTGCTGGCTGCAGCAGAAGCAGCGATTGCAGGGCGAACTTTCCCCAATGGAGTTAACAATTGTATAGCATTGTGCGAGTAAAGTAAACTCTTTAAATATCCCCTGGACGAGCTCCTAACCTGTGCCCTCCCCCATCCCAAGCACAGTTATCAATCGAAGACAAAATCAAGGACAAAGTTTACTTCTTTTTCCCCGGTGGGTGGGCAAAATCTGTGCCAGCAAATTAACTCGTACCCAAACACGTATCTAATTTCATTTTCACTACATGTGAGGCACATAAAAAACTAATTCAAAGCTCTCAATATAATTTATATCCTATCTGGACAACAAACAAGCCAACAAAAAACAGGAAAGGAATCGTGCAGAGCAAAGGACCAAAGGGAACAGGGGACAGGGCTCAATCGCACACAGCAATCAGGCCAAAAAGGCGAAAGATATATATATATATTTATTTTTTTTTTTGTAATTTTTATGACCCCAAAAGACACATCAATTCCGAAGGGCAGAGATCTCCCCGAACAAAGGACACCCTGAAGAGGTGCAGTCGCCGTAGCCGAAGGAAACTTATTTAAAGATGTAAGCGCAATAAAAAAAAAATAATAAAAATACAACTTTTACCACCCCCGAAATGTTTGCTCTTCTCCGGGCATTGGACGCCTCTCCTGCCCGATTCCCGACTATAAACTGTTCCAAGTTCCATGTTATCTAAAGTGTTAAATCACCTGATGCCGTCAGCATGAAATTTACGCACATAAATCTTTCGAGGGCCAGGCCCAAAGTCCAAAACTGAGAATCGTCGACAAAAAAAAACCAAACATAAGCAGGACACGGGCCAAAAAAAAAAACACACACACATAGAGCCGAAGAGGCAACAACTTGTGGGCTAGGAAAGCCGAGGGTTGCCATAGAATCGCCATCTATGAGGGTCCGTGCTTCATGGAGCAACTCCTTGGGCAACCCTCTGCATATGAGTTGTTTAAAAAGGTTGCCCGAGTAGGCCGTTGACAGTCTACAGTCCCAGACTCTAGAGCGTGCCTCCATTTTCACCCCATTTCCCGACCCTTCTCCCTGCCTCCCTGGGACGGGGCGGGGCGGGGCTAAAAAGGTTACGTGTGCGAATGCGTGAGGGCGGGGGGGCAAGGGCTTGGTCCGACTTAGTTTGTGTATATTTTATAGCTTTATAAAAGCGCTTTGACCTGTCGAAGTTGATCGGGGTCCCGGGGTCACTGCCAAGAGATGCATGGATGTCTGGATTTTCGGGGGCTATCATTTGCCCATTGCCCCGTTGATTGATGCGGGCAATGGGGCTCTGCACGGGTGTTCAGGGCTAAGGCTGCGTTGGGCCTTTCGATTGGAAGGAAGTGCGCGTGATGGGTCTTGGGGATGGAGAGGAAGCTGTTCAAATAGTTTCGCAATTGCTTGCCATTCAAGCCAACTCAGCTCGATTGCTTCTGCCTTTGTTTTGCGCCGTTGTCGCTGATGCTGCCACTTCTCTAAACCACTGCCTCGTCCCACTCTTCGCCCTTTTTCCGCTTTTCTTCGCCCGTCTACTTGATGTTTTTTAACGACAAAAGCGTTAAACTTTTGCTGCCCCCCCCCGTGCACCTGGCCAAAAGTGGGTGGATTAGAGGCTGATGCGGGGGGCGAGGGCAGGGGGCAGGAGGAGCCCTATCAGTGGCAGTGGCAACATCAGCCAACAGCAAAATCAACAAACGGCGCAGTAAAACAGCAGCAAAGCCAGCGGAAAAATAAGAGAAAACCGTTAAGAATAATATAGAACATGATTCGATGGGCGAATACCCTGGAAATACACAATCTACTGCATTGGAAATCCCACATATCAAAGCCCTTTAGGCCCTGCTATTTCTCTCCGTTTTGGGCCCGTACAAATGGTATGATTTTTATATATATCACAGCTCTATAAATATAGCTCTACCACACAGTAGTCTCTTGTATTTAGTTCTGTGGATAGGTGGAGACTTCCTTCCTCTAAGGAGAACAGACTCTAAAATCTGTATCCCTTTTTCATGGCTATTTTCGTATTGAATAAACTTCGATCTACTCTTACATTGCATACATAACCTATATAACCCCGTTCTCTCGGGGATTACTGGGTGTCCAAAAAACACAGTAACTGGCATTATAACACAAACAAAAACAGGAAAACGATGCGCATTGCAGTAGAGCAAGGGGGGCAGAGCAAGAGTATTGGTAGTTAGGGAGCCATGGGGCAGGGGGCAGAGGGCACGGCGCTTTGATGCAGGGGTGGGGGCTAAGGGTAAAGCCAAGGGCGAGCGGGGCAGTGGCGGATGCTTTGGCAAACGGTTAATGTAATGAAAATGGCTGGCGACAATAAAAACAACATTCGATGTGTGGCAGAAGAGGGCCGATCCGAGGGTGGTGCCGCGATGACGACGTTTATGCGACTCTGCCAATTGGTAAAAGTTACACTTTTCTTTCCTTTCATTCACTCTCTTTCCTGCCCTTCCCAAAGCGTTTTAGCCCTCAACAATCAAGTCAAAGGTGAGCAGGAGGAAAGTAAAGGAAAGTACCATCTTTTGTAATGACACTCGTAAGAAAATGATTCAAATTGGCCACAGTTTGCTGCTGCTGCAGCATTAACAACTGTTCGAAGTTCGAAATTGAGTTGAAGCGGAAAAAGAGACCCACAGACAGGAGGACGATGCGGAATGCCTTGTGTGCCTCGAACAAGTATAGAAAGGCCTGAGAGCAGATATCCCACTATAAGCAACTGTACACCTTTGATGGCATGAAAAGAGAGAAATAATGATGCTTAAGGTGGCTTCAACCATAAATAAAAAATCCCATAATTAAATACAAATCTCTCTATACGATTAAGAGACATATGCCAATGCCTGTCTATGAAAAAACCACCTTAAATCATGATCCTTTGATGCTTTCAATGTTTAAAAGATTTCGTTTCTGTTTTTCGGTTCAGTTATCTGTTTTGGAATGCTACCCCAGAGACCTCTAACAATGCCAAAATCGAAATGAAAGAGTTGGCCAAGAGGCAAACAGAAGGAGGCAGAGAGAGAGGGCGGGAGAGAGGGAGGTAGGGGAAGTGTGGCAAGAGCTGCCTGCGGAATTACCTTGGCAAAAACTTGCCGACAACTTTGTGCATTTGCCCCCT